GCCATGATCGCATACCACTTACGTGATGAAATATCAGATAACAGAGACCGTAGAACTTTGTGTGCCATTTTTTCAATTAATTCATTAATGACCTCGGGTGACTGGTATTTGCCATCCTTCAACCAACGACTCTCATCAAGTACACTCTCGAGTAGTACTGATAAATTTGATTCACCTGCATTATCATTTCTAACTGGTAAGGCTTGGCGAAGAAGGAATCTAAGTGCTGCTATTTGTTTCATGAAACTATTACGACGTTGTGATTGGTCATTTTCTATTGTGTTGGACATGAGGTTTGCGACAGAAGTTCCTCTTGACGACTGAAAAACTATGCAAGCATCTTTGTGAGAAGAACTTGCCTCATGGGCCTTAAACTTTTCAACAACTTTCTTCCAATTAGAAAAACTGACATTAGTAAAAGCAGGATCTTGTTTTGTACCAGCACGGATTTGTAAGTTGTGAACTACGTACTTACAATAAAAACAATAGACTTTAAAATTTGAAGTACATAAATGAATCCATGGATATGACTTGTACCATGTAGGCGTAAAGGCCCGTTTAATAGATCCATATAACCTTTCTGTTTTTCCAGTATTAATGGGTCTAGTGGTTGAGACACTTCTAGCATATTATGACAGCAGGAATGAGTACAACATTGAACAGTTGGCAGTAGTGACTGTGTTGACAAAGAGACAGCATCATTATTACAGTCACTCTCTGTAGTATCATAATGATCATGGTAATTATCTTCATTATGATCATCGTGACCATCTTCAGTAGTCATGGGCACTAAAAGAGTAAAATATGTATAAAACTTATTATTAATAATGTTAGACTGCTTACATGATTCCCCTAATTCTTTATCTAGTCTACTTTTTTTGGAAAAGAAAGATGTAATAGTAGTTTCCCTCCTTCTCTTGTCATCCATCTTAAAGCATGTGCACTCACTTACTTGATTAGCACCTGTACCATCTAATCTAATCATACTTCAATGCTTCAGAAATTGTCAGTAGTATATGCATTTCAGCTGACAGACACTGCAGTACTGCAGTCAATCATTTGCTGATATTGAGGAGGCAATGCCCCCTCTGAAATAACATTGGGGGGCAACTTGCCCCCCACTGCCCCCCTGTTCCTACTCCCATGATTTAGAGTTGACAAAGATTTCCTTGATAAAGTTCGTGGCTTTTTTGTAGATCTGAAACGAGCCTCCTTTTTTGAAATTTGTATTTGGAGCTACTCTTTTTCTGGTAGGAAAGTCTCCATCACTTAACACATGAGAATCTATTGCACTAATCACAGTGTAAGCTGCATTCAAGTGTTTCATTCCAGTTGCAATAGCATCCATATTTGTACAATTAAGTAATGCAACTTCAATCTTCTTACACAGTGATGTTGCTCTATTTTTAGCAGAGGTAGGTGTTGGCTTTCTTTGAAGGCATTTCGATAAATATTGTACAGATGACACATTGTTTTTTTGAACCTCTTCAAAGCACATTTCAGTTGTTTTATCAGTAGATTGTACAGTTTCATTCTCATCAAAAGCAGAATTTGTTTCTACTAAATCCCTGCTTTCTTCTACTTCATGAGCACATGAATGTTGCATATCAGCATTTAAATCAATACTAGATGACAAATCTTCACTTCTTGTAGGAATAGTACAATCCAAATGCATTTTGATGAAGTGAATGTGCTTGCACACAGTAGCATGGACAATAAAATCTATGCATGTACATGTAAAATCATGCACACATGCTCCACAAGTATGGCAACATAGCTGACATGAACAGTTTCCAACCATCACCGTTGTTACTGTGTAAGTTGAATGACCATTTGAAGAACTAACATTCCAAGAAGTATCATTCAAAGAAGTAATTTCACTCACTTCTTTAATTTTATCAATTGATTTATGCCTCTTATTGATCTCACTAAGACGATGAGTCATCTTTCCCTTCTGAGTCTTTAGTACCCTTTCAAATACTTTATCTCGTGCAATTTTATGAAGAACATGTAGTAGCATATCGATTCTACGATTTTGCTTTTTGTCAAAGTAACAGACTTTAAGAGAGTGGTGAAAGGCTTCTACAGCCATGTTAGTGTTAACAACTGTTGCTACTCTGTAACAAGGAGCCCACTGCTCTACTTGTGGTATATTATATTCCTTTTGAAAATACTCCAGAAAAGAAGCTAAATCTTCATCATCTGACATACAAGAAATGAATTGCTGGAGATGTAAACGAAATGATATCTCTTCTTCACTGAGTAAGATGTGCAAGTGGTGGTAAAGTTCGATTTGCTTGCTTTGTAATGAAATAAGACCTTGAATTCCTCTCCAACTTTTGTCTATTTGCCAGGCACAGATTAATTTTCTTGTGTTCCTGACAGTGAATACTGCCCTCCATGCATTAAAAAAATTTTCAGCATTGTCACTCATAAAAAAACTTGTATGAATGTCACCACATTTTCCTTCATTTTAATGAGAACTTGTCGGATTGTAGCTGCATCTTCTCTGTTGGATATTATCCATGCTATAGGGACTCCTTCACCTAGATCATCAAGAACTAAAATAGTTATCAGAAAGAAGTCGTAAGCATTAGTGCTGTTAGTGCTATCCATGCAGATTGCTTTTGGGCCAAATTGTAGAAGCATGTCCCTCTGAAACAAAGTTTGGATTCTAATTAGAAATTCATTCTTTGCCATATCATCAATATCACTTGGTTGCTCGTAGCTTTGCTGCTTAAATAAAAGAATGGGATTGCTACCATCATTATCTTGATCTCTCAAAACTTTCAACAAATAAGGAAACACTTCTATGATCATTTTCATGGAGTTTAGTACCAGCTATATTATACTGATGCATCACGTTATGAATGTCTTGTCGACATAAAAGTGCTGTGCGATCTATCTTTTCTATGTTATCTCTCACAGAATCCAGTATAGCCGATATTATAACCCCATCACTTAATTTAGCAGCTATCATTTGTTGGACTGAATCAAAACGTTTCAAGTGGCCTAATTCGATTGGATGTGTATGATGATTGCATATCTCGGCAGAAACTTCTCCTGATAAAAATTTTTGTACTCTTATATAAGCAGTACAATGACTTCCAATCTTAGATGTTCCTTGAATCTTGAGATTTCTTTTACCCTTGCCTTTTGAATTATACTGACCACTTCTATTGGAATAGTAATAGTAGCAGGTGCAATCAACTCTTTGCTTTGGAGAAGAGTGTAAAACAAATGAAGACGACGATTTAATTTCTAACTCTTCCTTCCACTGCATGAAGTTGTGTAAGCTAGGGAAACTCTTTGTAATTACGTTAATTGATTGGTTGTGGGTTTCCACCAAATGCTCAATAAGACCATCCATATTAATAAATCTATACAAATACAATGTCAGTCATATACATCATTTGTAAGTTTGTTTTCAATATTATCTACATACTTTTTATCACAGTTAGTTTCAGTACAAAAATTAGTTCCAATCTTAGAATTCTCTTTATTATGACTATTCTTCAGATGACGACTCAAACTGCTACTATGGCTGAATTTGCTGCCACAAATAGAACATTGGCATGCTGATAGTGCTGCCATGCTGTTTATAGCCACACCCACAATGCATCGTTACCTTTCCGTTTTTGTGTTTTACTGAGAAGCTAACGGCCTGTCGCTAATGGCTAGTATGCCCAAATGGAATTATGGAAGTCTCTACTGTGCTATCATCATATTTGCACTACTAAAACTATTAGCTATGCTAGTCTTGTCTGATTGCTTTCGTCATAATAAAGTGAGGAATACTTTTAAAAGGACTAATATACAAAACATTTTTTTTACTTCTGCTGAGTTGGTTGGGCACATGCCCACCCAGGCCCACCCTTAGATACTCCCCTGCTACGTAGTGCTATGGCTGGATTTTTACCCGGCTACTCAGCTAGTATTACTTCTGAAGCTTCAAAACGAAGGTACAATGACAAATTAAAGCTGCTGCAAGGGATAGATCCCTATGAAGTTGATAAGACAGACTGGGAAGATGACTTGGACTTGTGGCCTGCTATCACTCACGTTCATGCATGCATGTATCTAATTCTCACTCCAAGTCCATATACTGCAAATGACATTTTTAACTACAAGAGCCTTGATTTGTACCAGAACTTTGTGAAAGGATGGGTCAGACGAGTTTTAATGAAGCCTGTTGTGACAAAAGAATTGTGAGAAATACAAAAAATTTTCAAAAAAAGATTGAGTATGATTCTCTTTGTGCTAATTTGTCAAAAAAGTGATGGAAACAAGGACAAGTAGGATTCTGCACGACCGATTATTCCAAATGACTGCCTACCCTTACCAATGAAAATACAAAATGAAAATCCTACTTAATTCTACTCTACATTGTACTTTCAATGTTATTATTTAAGAATTACGGATCACCTTGCAATGTAGAGTAGAATTTGCGTCACGAGAGTAGGATTTTTGTTTTGTATTTTGTTGGTATGGGTAGTCAGTCATTTGGAATAATCGGTTGTTCAGAATCCTACTTGTCCTTGTTTCCATCACTTTTTAAACAAATTAGCACAAAGAGAATCCTACACAGTCTTTCTTTGAAAATTTCCAGTATTTCTTGATGGTGTTATTTTTTAAATATATGTGACCATAATTGACAAAAGGGCCCTTATGGCGGATTTTTAAATTGATAGTTATAATGGAAAATATCAACCTGTGAGTGCTTTGGT